GGGGGGGGGGAGGAAGAGCTGAGCCCTTCAGCTGAAAGTTACCCTTTAATACCTATCTGCTTCCACCAAAAGACAGGACGCTCAAGTGTCACTGAGAGGAGTTGGGGATGGTTCACCCCCTTTTCAAGCTCTAGGGTGATAGGATCTGGAAAGAGGTGGGGGAGGAAGTCAACAGCATGGGCTGACTGGAATGAAGGATAGTCTGGTTCCCTACTCACCGTTCCCGAGGCTGGAGACTCCCAGAGCCTGAGCAGTGTGCAGCGTGAGACGCCTCTGGGAATCTTGGATGTAGGCCATGACTGGCATAGGGTAGAAATTAGCCTGCAGAGGCAATTTCTTCAGATACTGCCGGGGCTGGACCTACAGGGAGGAATTCAAGTCCAGCCTGGAATGGTGTCTGACTTGTGTTCTGAAGGGTTCTCAGTGTGAAGGTGTTCCTGGCTATTTGTTGGTTGGTTGGTTGGTTGGTCGGTTGGTTTGTTCAAGGCAATGTTCCTCTATGTAGCCATGGCTGTCTTGGAACTCACCCTGTAGAGCTGGCTGGCTTCGAACTCAAGAGATCTAATTGCCTCTCTGACTTCCAAGTGCTGGAATTAAAGGTGTGAGCCATCACCCAGCTAATTTTTTCTATTGGGGCCACGTGTATAATACGTGTGTATGTATAATACGTGTGTACGTGCACATGTGTAGGTCAGAGGTCAACTCTGTGGAATGGATTCTGTCCTCTACCTGTATGAGGATTCCGGGAATCAAACTCAGGTTGTCAGGGTTAAGCAAGAGCCTTTACACACTGAGCCATTTCACTGGCCCTCTCTACTTGGCACCGGTCCTTGGCGCCCCACCTCCCTCCACACAGCTCCTCTATTGGAGGCCATAAGCAGTACAAGCTCTGTTCCATGGGGCCCAAGAATTACCTGAAAGCCATTGAGATCTGTGAAGAAAGTACCCTGGCTGTCAATGTCTGTGTGGATGCGCAGGGCCAGCTCCTTGTTCACATAGTCCCTGATGTCTACCTGGAATGACATGTCCAGAGACAGCCCCTCTACCCCTAGAAACACAGGGACAGCCAGAAGTGAGGTGAGCACAAGAGACCATCCCAGGGACAGCTCCCCACCCTCCTCCTGGGAGCTCTCAGGGCACTGTTGGAAGGACTTTTCCTCAGGAGAATCAAACATCCCCGTGTCAAATGACACATCTGCTTGTCGACATCGAAGGAAGAGGAGCAGGTGCCACCAGGCGGGACTTACACCTGGTGACCTTCCCCACCCACAGGGCTCACCTGGCAGGTTATAAAGTCGAATCACTTGGTGAAAGTGCTCATAATACACAGCCACCTCTGAGAAGAAAGGGCCTTCAGTGATGCGCAGCACAGGAGGTTTCTTAGGGACGTAGGGCTGGAAAAGAGCAAGTGGCCCCTGAACCCATAGCACAGAGTACAGAGCAGCAGTAGCAAGCCAGGGCTGGTCAGCAGAGATTCTTGTCCCAGCGCTCTGGCCTGAACACCTGCTCTGACCAGGCCCTAAGCCGTTATTAAGATCACAGCCCACCAACCTCCACAAGGACAGGAGCACAAGACCCAGTATGCCAGGTCCCTCCCAGGCTCTCCCCATCCTCAGGAGCCACCCAGTTCTGGGAGGCCTCTCAGGTACCTTAGCCTCGCTGTCAGGCAGGAAGAGGTAGGCGCCACTCTTGTCCTTGGATGTACGGGTGCCATAGACGAGGAACTTCATGTCTATCTGCTGCTCCTGCTCTTCATCCGCCCGGCGGATGCTCTGCCAAAACACACAGCCCTGACCCCTGGCCCCACACCAGCATGTCAGGTCTCCCCTGGGAGGGCAGGGACTAACTTGCCCCAAAAAGCCAAGCCCAGTGCTACAGTAGGGATCTTAGGTGTCCCCCATAAGGGCTTGTTCCCAGACTGCTGCCACTAGGAGAGGTTGAGAAAAGTGGGACCCTGTCCCTTCTCACCTCTCACCTCTTCCCGCCCTTTTTTTTTTTTTGAGACAGGGTTTCTCTGTGTAGTCCTGACTGTCCTGCATCTTGGTCTGTAGAGCAGGCTGGGCTTGAACTCAGAAATCCACCTGCCTCTACTTCCCGAGTGCTGGGATTAAAGACGCACACCAACACCAACAGCCAGCTAAGGCTGATCTTAACTTCTGATCCTCCTGCATCCACCTCTCAATGCTGGGTTACAAGCATGTGCCAGCACACTTGGTTTTCTGCAGTGTGGGGGAGCAAACCTAGGGATTGTTTGTTTGTTTTTCAAGACAGGGTCTTTCTGTGTAGCCCTGGCTGTCCTTGAACTCACTCTGTAGACCAGAAATCCTTTTTTTTTTTTTTTTGGAGACACCATTGCACTGTGTTGTTCTGGCTGTCCTGGAATTCACCGAGTGTCTGCCTCAGCCTCTCCAGTGCAAGGATTAAAGGTGTGTCTCATTTTGCCTCAAACTTGCCACGTAGCCAGAGATGACCATGAGTTTCTGATCCTACCCCCGCCACTGTCGAAATCACAGGTGTGTGCCACAACAACCAACCCCTCTCTTGCATCCTGGCTGTGAAGTAATTTACTCTGCTGAGATGTGCTCTCTGCCATGGCATGCTGCCTAACCACACGCACCAAAGCAACGGGTCTGCCTAACTGTAGGCTCAAAGCTCAGAACTGTGAGCTGAAATAAACCTTCTCTCTTTACACGTCACTGATACGGTAGAAGATAAATCAACACACTCATCCTTGCCAGGCTGTTAGCTTGGCAACGGCTAATGCTCACACCCAAATCTCTGAGAGTCAGGTGACAGGAGCCACATGGGAGTAGGGACAGCTGTACACAAGCCCCGACACCCATGCCTTCCTCTGGTCCCTCCCCACCTCCCTTGGCCTGGCCCTTTACCTTGAGAAGCCCAGTAAGGCCGGAGAACCAGACCTGCATGTAGCGATTGCTGATGGCGAAGTCGCTGGTGCCGGAGTCCACAACACGGAGAGGGAATGCTGTTTGCCTGCTGACGGACAGTTTCGCACCGTTCAGGTAGACACGCACGGAAGACTGCAGCGTGTAGGGGCCATCAAGATCTGGCTGCAGCTGTAGCACACCCAGGCCCAGGGCTGGCAGGCGGATAGGCACTGACACCTGTGAGCATGGAGCAGAAGAAGCATCAGCCCAGACAGGCCTTCTACCCTCCACCCTCAACCTCGGCGCTTCGCTTTCTGAAGCTAAGCAGCGAGCCCTACATTTCTATCTGAAGAATCTGTCTGTCTGGGGATCCTGGTTCTGGGTTCCAGTGTCAGCAAAGGCACACAGCGCCCACTGAGGTGAGAGCCCGGGGTCTGGAGCAGCTTCACACAGACTGAGAGACTATAGGTAGTAACTTAAGCTTGGTTCCTGGGGAAATGAGGGTAGCATCACTGTGTGCATGCTTGTGAGAATTTAAATGAGACCCCAGTTACAGGTGTAACTCTGTATTCCACAGTCAGGCTGCTGAAGCATCCTGGGTCTGAGGCTAGCCCGGTCTGTGCAGAGAGAGAGAGGCCTTTGTCTTAAAAACTTTTTTTTTTTTTTAAGCTGGGTGGTGGTGGCGCACACCTTTAATCCCAGCACTTGGGAGGCAGAGGCAGGCAGATTTCTGAGTTCGAGGCCAGCCTGGTCTACAGAGTGAGCCAGGACAGCCAAGGCTCTACAGAGAAATCCTGTCTCGAAAAACCAAAAAAAAAAATTTTTTTTTTCTTAACAAATTGAATAATTAGGCACTTAGAGCAGAGCCTAGCATGAACTACAACTAACAATTATTTTTCATGAATACATAGTAAGTCAACACACTAAATCCTCATTAGAAGCTTAAGTCCAGGAATTGGAGACAAGACCCCATCACAATGAAGTAAACAATAAATACTTGTTGAGTGAGCTGCTGAGGGCACTTGCTGTCTTTGCTAAAATTTCCACACACGGTCCTCGCTAACCTTTTAAGGACACTCAAATCTCAATAGCGACTGTCCTTTGGGCAACGCCTCTCCCCAGGCCACCTGCTTCCATCCTGGGGAGTAAGCAGGGCACAGCAAGGGAGTGGGAGGCAGGTGTTCTTGGGGAGTGAGGCCCCAGGAGAGGTACTGACAAGCAGGGAGGGCTGTGCCCTTCCTCACCTGGTAGACATCAGGGACCATGTCAGTGGCCGAGCTCCAGTGCACACTGATCTGCACGGCCAGGGGCTGACCCTCCTCTGAAAGGACTCGCACCCGGGGCGAGGTCACCAGCAGGGACACCACACTGAGCCGTTCCTGTTCCAGCGGGTTAAATACCACCACAAACCTGTGGGTGAAAGGTGGGCTGACCCAGGAGCTTGCTGCGGCAGCAGGGCAGAAGCTGGAACGAGGGCCCCCCCCCCCCGCGCTGGAATCCAAGGGCCGCGCTGGGGTGGAGGGCGCTCTGTGGACCCCAGCAGGCCCGCCTCACCTGGGTGAGGAGTCCAGCTGGATCACGGTGCGCTCAGGCAGGGCATCGTGACTTACACGACTGTCATCCTGCAATGTCGTTAAGAATGATGGCTAGGCTCAACCTCCTCCCCACCCCGGCCTGTCCAGGATATGGGCCACCAACCACCTTAAGCATGGAACTCGCACCCCAAAACAAGAAAGGGGAAGAAAGGGACGGTACCCACTGCTCTTGAGATAGTACCCACCCACACCAGAGGATTTCTCGAGCAGAGGTAGGAGGGGACCCACCATTTGGAGGAAGGGTGTCCCAGGGTCAAAGCTGTAGGTCTCCTTGTCCCCCAGCACCAGGTAGTGGGCAGCATTGATGATGACCTGCTTTAGGCTGACCAGGGAACGCAGCAACCTATGGTGAGCAGGAGACAGAGCTGAGAGAAGATGGCCACAGGGAGGCTGTCTGCTATGCCAGCAGGACCAGCCTCAGCAACATACCATCCAATCACCCACGTATCCTCCCTTTGACATGGTGAGAGAAACAGGGGTGGCTCATACCTGACCCCATAGTCTACTACTACTGCCTCCTTGGCAGTTCCGGTGATGGCATCGTGGTGCTGGAAGAGGCCCAGTGTGCGCCGAGCTTCCGTCAGAAGAGCAAAATCAGACAGCGGATACTGGCCAGCCAGTCCAGAACGGCGGGCATGAGCCAAAGCCAGGCTGTATAGAACCTCTGCCCCACTACCCAGAGAAAGAAGTCAGAGCCTTCCTGTTCTGGTCAACCTCGCTCCCACGGGACACCCACACACTTAAGGGATCCTCTCTCCCACCCAGCCCCTCCTAACTCAGCAGGGGGAGGTGGGCAAGTCTCACCGCAAGTGGGCTTCTAGTACTCGGTCCAAACTCTTGTAGAAAGGCCGGGAGGTGTAATAGCCTGTCCAGTAGTGGTCCTCCCGGTCAGCATAGGAGAAGAAGTCCCCACTCAGCACAGGAAACCCTGGAGGCCGGGCACCAGGCTCTACTCCTGTCCTCTTATACAGGGCATCAAAATACTCAGAGAGGGTCCCAAACTGGGCCTGTAGGGACCCAAAATGAACTAGCATCAATTACAGAGCCTCCTGGAAACTCTGTCCATAATATTCATCCTACAATGCTGCAAGTAAAGATACAGGTGACAACTTTGTCAGGCAGGGACTCTGTGTGCCCTGCTCTTCTGGGCCTAGAAACCTTGCTTGGGAATGACATGGAGCCCTCAGCAGCAGGGCGAGGAGGTACTGTAGTTTGTGACTGCACGTCTGTATACGTGTGCCCCTACCTGCACATGGAGCTCAGGCTTGCTGTTGAGGAAGTCAAAGAGCCGCTGGTAGTTGAAGAACTGGGCATCCCATTCCTGGGGCTTGTCATACCGGAAGTCATCACCCAATGGCACAAGGAGGACATTGCTTCGGAACAGCCGAGACTTCTTCCGGTACTGGTCCAGGAGCAGGGCTGCCCTGGAAACGTAGTCACAGGCCAAACGTGAATCCCCAAGCTTAAAAAGAGCAGCGAGGGAGCTGCGGAGGTGGCACTTGTCACACAAGCGTGATGGCTGGACTTTAGACACCCTCCCTTCCAGCATGTACGTAATGCCAGTGTGCATGGTGGCCAGACTGTAATCTCAGAGGGTGGAGACAGGATCCCCAGAGCAAACTGCATGCTTACACTAGCCGACACTATAAATGAGCTCTAGATTCAACTGAGAAACTTTTTCAATGAATAAGGTAGAAAGACCCTAAGGAAAGTTTCTGCTGTTAACCTTGGGTCGCCATATACATTCACAGACCTGCATACCGCCCACAAATGTGGGTCCACGCACATGCAAAGATGCCTGGTGCCACCTGCTTTTTTTTGTTTTTGTTTTTTTTGGTTTTTCAAGACAGGGTTTCTCTGTGTAGCTCTGGCTATCCTGGAACTCACTCTGTAGACCAGGTTGGCCTAGAACTCAGAAATCCGCCTGCCTCTGCTTCCCAAGAGCTGGGATAAAGGCGTGCCACTTGCTTTTAATTCCAGCACTTGGGAGGCAAGTGAGTTTGAGACCAGCCTGATCTACATAGCAAGTTCCAGGCCAGCTAGGGTAACATAATGAAATCCTGTCTCAAGAAAGGAAAAAGAAAATCCCATGAAAAGCTAGGCACAATGGCACATACTTGTAAGCCCAGTACGCAGGAAGCTGAGATAAGAAGATCCCATGTTTGAGGCCAGCCAGGTCTGCACAGAGAAGGCCTACTAGGTGTGGTAACACATGCATATAATCCCAGAATTTTTGTGGTGACCAGTAGGTCAAGCCCATCCTTATCTATACAGCAAGTTCAAGGACAGCTTCAGCTACCTGAGACTCTATCTAGAGCTCCATGCCCCCCACACTGGCACCTAACTTGAACTGTATGAAAACATTTTTTAAAACCTATACTATCTATTCAATAGAACCTTATAGCATGTCATTAGAAGCTTTTTAGAATTTTAGAATCCCAACACTTAGAGGCTGAAGCAGGAGGATTGTTGCAAGTTTGAGGTCAGCCTGAGCTACACAGTGAGTACCAGGCAAGCCAGAGATACAGGACAAGACCTTGTCTCCAGAAACTAAAAAAACAAAAAACAAACAAACAAACAAAAAAACAGGAAAGTGGCCTTCAGTGCTTGTTTGGACTGCTGCTACATATGACACCCTCTCAGTTAGATCACCCTAAACCAACACTTCCGTAGGGGGTCTAATTTTAGTCACGTGACATCTTTGAGGTCCCTTACTAGTCTCTTCAAAGGGACAGGTCTTTTTTTCTCAGAGAGTAGAGGCTCTCTGGCAGAACTAGATGGATCTGGACAAGCTTTGGCCTGCTTCCTGAACCAGAGCTGACCCAGAGAACCTGAGTCCACTGAAGGACGGCAGCTGGGAGTTTGTAAGAAAGGGGACCAGTGTGAGAACTGTTTAGTAAGAACTGTTTGGGGCAGGTGCCCAGCACAGTGACACAGGCCTGCACTTGGAAAGCAGAGGCAGGCAGATCTCTGAGCATGAGGCCCGCCCAGTCTACATAGTGAGTTCCAGGACAGCCAGGGATACATAGTGAGACTCTGTCTCAGGAAGATAAAAAAGAATTTGTTTAGGGCTGGGGATGTAGCTCAGTTGGTAGAGTGCTTGTCCAACATTCACAAGCCTCTGGTTTGGGAATAAACAGGGTGTGGCAAGTCCTGTTACAACCCCAGCACTCAGGAACTGGAGGCCAGCCAGCTTGGAATATGAGAGAGCCTATCTCAAAAAACAAAAGCAAAAAAAAAAAAAAAAAAAAACACGGGGCCGGGCCGGGGGTAGGGGGTGGGGATGCTTCCCAAGTCTATTAAGAACATCTGAAGGTATCCTCACTGAGTCTGGGAAAGATGTTTGTTTAGCGCCATTCTGCTGTTCCCATTCCCAGGGAGGCACTAAGGAGTCACTACTGCAGACTCCGACCTAAATTCACCCCCAGAGTCTACCCTTTTTTCCAGGTATGGTCAGCATCATGCAGTCTCCTGTGGCACAATGAAGACCAGAAACCAGGTTTCGGTCTAACTCCTCTTTAGAGTAAAATGTCAACACCGGCTAGGTGTGACAGCAAAGACCTTTGGACCCCAGAGACCAGGGCGGGAGGGTGGAGTTTGAGCCTGTTGTGGCTACACAGCAACGCCATACATAGCTCAAAACCCCCAACCCAAAACTCAGCACCTGGCCCGAGCAGGGCTGACAGCAGATACCTGTCTGCCACGTTGGCCTCTGTAATAGCCCGTGGTGGCACCTTCCAAGGGCAATTGATTCTCCCACCCGGCAGACGTTTGAAATCAAACTGGCAGCAGATCTTGGGGTCAGGGCCGCAGGTGTGTGGGACATCGTAGCTGTAGAAGGGCATCATGTGGCAGAAGATGTCTGTGCTGGAGTCTGAATCTACAGAAGACATACCACAGGGTCAGCCACTGGCAGACAGCCTTAGGCGCTGGGCACAGGGACAGCAGGAGTGTGCAGATTCATGTCATCCATAGGCAGCCCTGGGAAACACTGAGGTGCTAGCTAGACTTAAGACTGTAGCATATGTGTAGGCTGCGTGTAGGCTATGGGGCTCCCAAATCCACGGCTCCTGCAGGACGTGTGCCACAGAAGCCAGTAGAGGTCAATATGACTCTCTCCTAAGACTTTGCTGCTGTAATACCCGTTCGAGCCCCTACTTGGCCTTACCCCACATCTGCCTCCACATGAACTCCAGGCTGTGAGTGGCAGCAAAGTGCTTCTTGATGGCATAATGCACCCTCTGAATCAGCATGCTGGTCAGGTTGGCACGGCGCAGCAGGTAAGGCATGGTAGAACTGTGTCCAAAGGGGTCCACTGCCCAGCCTGAGCGTGGTGTCGCACCTGAGGGCACAGCACAGATGTCAGAGGCCCTGAATACTTTGGGGACTGGCCCCTGGTCTCTTGGTGCCTGGGGGGCCAGCTCCTGCCTTGCCCATCAGACAGGCTGCATAAGCCTAGAAAGGAACAACTCCCTGCCAACCCCTGGACCTCACAGCGTCTTGCCACAACATTCAGGCCCAGGTCTGGCGCAGAGTCTAGCTCCTGTGCCTGCACTTACCCAGGTTTCTCTCCAGCCACTGGTGGCCCTCGATGAGTTGGTCAACCAAGGCAAAGTAGTGGGAGTTGGCCTCATCTGGCATCACCCATCCACCTGTTGCAATCTCCAGCTGCCCATTTCCCACCAGCCTAAGGATGAAGGCACACTTGGGATGGGGCAGGGACCCTTTGCTTGGTCCTGGTAGTCAGAGGATGGCGGGGACTGCATACAGTGGCCTCCGCCAGCCAGTTCACCCATCCTTTCCCTGCAGCCCGCCTGGTCTTGTCTTGGTCACTCATCTCAGGACCCCTTCCTGTGCTTAGAGGCAGAGGTCTCATGCTTCTCTCTTATGCTCTGAGCATCCTGGTTTCTCTGAACACTCACAGACCTTCAATTCCCCACTCCCGCCACAGCTCAGTCTTCCTGCCAGCTCAGCAGCCACACAATGAGACAAGCCTGGCCTCCCCATCCAGGGCTTAGATGATGACCCTCCCACACCTTCCCAACCACCACTCACCTTCGAACTGCTGCCCTTTTTTGGGCACTGATGTTGTCCCACCACTTGGCGAAGAAGGAGACTTCTGCCCAGAGAAAGCGCCGTCGGGGATCTTCCTGCAGCTTGGACACCATGCTGTTGAGGATGTGCTGGGTTTGTTCCGTGTAGTACTTGTCAAAAGTCTTGATCCAGCCTGGGGGAGCCAACACAAGGTCCCCTGAATATGCCACATACTCCAGTCGCTCCCTCCTCATGCCTGTCATCAGAAAGCCTGCTCCACACCCTGTGGCCGGGCCCTGCTGGCCCTTCACCTGGATCGTTGTGTGAGTGAGGCACCACAAACACTTGCAGGTCTTCAGTGTCCCAGTCGTTCGGGCTGTAGGAGATGTCAAAGCCTTGCCTCCACACTCCACCCTCCACATTGTCAAATGGCAGATCCTCAGACACAGTTAACATCTGCCAGGGAAGAATGTGGCTCAGTGCCCGTCGGAGCGGGAGAGGGTCCCTGCCAGCTCCAACTCTTACCTGTAGTTCTGGCTTCTGACCCCGGCCCCCCAAAGCAAACTGGCAGTCCTGGGGGGAGACAGAAAAGAAGCTGGGCCGGGGCTCCGGGAGTACAGCCCAGGAGCCGTTGGCCGTGTGGTAGGGCAGCAGGGCTGGTGGGCCCTCCGCATTGGCTGTCAGTTCCAGTACAGAGTCCTTGATATGGCTTATGATCTCATGGTTTTCCTCCAGCAGTTGTTCCAGTTGTTCAATCCGGTTCTGTAGCACAGAAATTTGGCTCTGTCAAAAACAAGAATGGAAAATAATCAGCCAAGTCAGACCACAGGCCTCCAGGGCTGGCATGATCCTCACACCGCTCCTGCACGCTGCAGCCTCCCATCCGCTTGGCTTGGAAGTAGCGTCGCCCACAAGCCCATGGAAGGCAAACATTTCATCTCACGTGCCTGTGCTCAGTGACCTACACGTAACTTCCTGTCTCAAGCATGGTGCTGAGGAGGACTGCACTCAGTTTAATGGAAAAGAAATACTGCAGTCAATTTGCAGTGTCTGCCAAGAACTCAGTCAGGTTATCAATACACAAGGCAACCTCCTCTTCCTTCTTCTTCTTCCTCTTCGACATTGTTGCTTTTCACTTCCTGTTTCAGCTAGGAGCATAGCCCCGTGGTAGAGCATGTGTTTAGCATGCACCAGCCCTTGGGCATCCACCTCCAAAAGAAAGAAAAATCTGCCTAGGAGTGTTCCTGGGCTACTCAGGTAGATCGTGAATGTTGCATGCATGCATGCTCATGAGGAGACACTAGGTCCAATCCCTAAGACAATGGGGGTGGGGGGGTTGTTCTTGTCCTGTGCTGATATAACTCCCCTGAGCCCGGGGGGCCTTGCATTTGAAGAAGAGAATAAGGCGTGACTCACCCTGGGGAAGTTCCCACCATTCTGGTGTCTGGCAGGATCGTGTTGCACTCTGTCCAGCATAAGGTACAGAGAAAAGACGGCCACACAGAAGATAGCAGCCCCGCACACCGTCACTTGCTTTTTCAGCTTCATGCTGACCCAGGCACGTTCCTGGCAGGAGAGACACCACCTGTAGCTCTGACATGCAAAATCCTCTGTTGGTCTTCCTAGCAAATGCTCAGTAGATTCCCAAGGAGCACCTACTTGCCTGACTCTGGGTAAACAAGCAAGCAAGCTTTCAAGTACCAAATCTTGGCTGCGACTCCCAACACATAAGTAGCACATATATCTGGGGTTGGTCTGTAGGACAGGAGTTCTGTTTCCTCTCAGCACAAGCTATAAAAACCAGGTGTGGTAGGTGAGACAGCTCAGTAGGTAAAGAGGCCCTTGCAGTCAAGCCTGACAACCAAGGTAATTCATTTGATTCATATGGTAGAAGGTGAAAACCAACTACCACAAATTGTCCTCTGATTGCCGCACGTTTTCTGTGGTGTACATACACATAAATAAATGTAACACATTAAAAACAAACAAACAGGGATAACAGAGCCCCAGCTCTGACCCACACCTCGTTACAAAACCACTGATTGCAAACAGCTTGCTCAGGACTCTGCAAAGGCTCTCCTAAGCTATGTGTTTCCTCTCTTCAGATAAATACCAGAGCTTTTATTTTGTTTGACTTAGAGGTACAATCACCAGCTGGAGAGACAAGCAACCGCCACCTCCCCTCCTCAGGTCCCCGTCTCCCCTTTGACCTCCTGGAGCAGCCTGGAATTCAGCAGAAACAGTGCCTGGCCCAGATCCTGTCTCAGAGAATACAGAATGGATTTCTTTTTAGAGAAGAAGAATTGCTCATGTTTTTAACAACCCAGTTCTACTGCTGTCCCTGTCAGTACTGATTCCTGCTGTGCAAAACTTCCAGTCCTGGCTTCCAGAGTCCCTTTAAGGGGACTTTAAAGGGACTCCTAAGAAGCTAGCGGCGAGACTGAAAGTCCCCAGGGTAGCGGAAGCTGGGCACAGCTGCTCGGAAGCGGGGCAACTCGAGACGACCCACAGTGCCCGCTGCCACCGCCCGCGAGTCCCCACTTGCCTGCCGGAGGAGGGAGGACGCTAGCTGCTGAACGCGCGTGGGCGGGACCGCTTTCTGGAGTCTGCTCTTCGGGCCCTGGTGCTGAAAAGCTCTGTCTCCTCGGGCTGCGTCCTACTTAACGCGATCTGATTGCGCTCAGGAGCCTCCGGGCAATATTTTTAGTCCCTGGAGATTGGGTCCGGGCCAAAGAGGGCGGAGCTAGGGAGCAGGAGCTGGGTCACCGTGGGGCAGTTACCTGCCGCGATGTACCCCCCCTCCTCCAGCCCGCCCAGCCCCCTCCGGCCCTCGGGGCTCAAGTAGCACCCGAGGACCGCAACGTCCGCGGCCTGCAGGCTGGAGTCCTCGCCCACGCCCCGCCTGGTCCGTTACCGTACGCGGCCGGCCTCCGCGCTGCCCGGAACCCGGCCGGCCGAGCCGCCGCCGCTTGCATCCCCGGGGACCGCGGCCCGCGCGCGGGCAGTTGCGCTGCCTAAGACAGAGGCCGGCTCACCCACCGCCCCTTCTCGGCCCCGCAGCCGCGCTCCCGCGGGGGCCAGGGCCGCCGCGCGCTCCCTTCGCTCGCCCCGCGCCTGTGCTCCCGCGCTCCCGCCTCCGCGGGGCCGAGCGGCGCGCCGGGCTGGAGGAGGGGCGCGGGAGACCGCGCGCAGCGTCCCCTAGTGCCGGATCCCGCCGCTGCCTCGCCCCCCCCGCCGGGTTCCGCAGCGTCCCCTGGATCCCCTGGAACCCAGCTCAGTCGCCTCCCGCTGGATCGGTGCGCGGGTCCGCTTTGGCTGCGGTGCGGCTCTGCGAAGCGGTTGACCAGGCAGGGCGCGAGCGGCAGAATTCCAGCAGGGCCGCGCCACTGGTTTTTGTTTTGTTTTGTTTTGTTCTGTTTTGTTTTGGTTCTTTTTGTTTTTTTGTTTTTTTCTCTCCGTCTTCCAAGAGTAAGATTTAGGCAGAAGCAGAAAGGGCAAAACCGTGCCGTGCTTTGTGGCCTCCCCGCCTAGCTCCATAGTGATGTTTCTTAGGCAAAGGGATACTGCCCCCCTCTAGGTGCTGTGTGTTCCCGGTGACTCTGGGTTTCCTGCCACTAAGGGGGAAATGTACACCTTACAGTTAAAGGTTTATTGAGCGTCCATGTTTCTGATTTGCAGCGTAAGACACCATACTACAATGAACATCTCCACAGATCCCACAATTTTCTTTCTTTTAAGATTAATGTTTGGCTGGGTGTAGGAGCACGTGCCTAGTCCTAGCACCTGGAAGGCAGAGGCAGGCAGATCTCTGAGTTCGAGGCCAGTCTGGTGTACATTTTGAGTTCCGGGACAGCCATAACTACTTGGGGGGGGGGAAGATTGTTTGCTAGATCATGGTGGCACACACCTATAAATCCCTCTGTCTCAGATTACTGCAAGTTGGAAGCTATCCTGGACTACACATTTGAGACCCTGTTTCAAAAGGAAAAAAGATTACTAAAACTACTGCCTGGAACTGAGTTGGTCATGCCCACTAAAAGTCCAGCTCTTGGGAAGTTGAGGCAAGAGGATCCCAGCAAATGAATATCATCAGCCTGGGCTACATAGCAAAACAAATATTACTATCTGATGTAGACTCCCCCTAACCTCAGGTTCACATCTTGAAGTTCTGTCCCCGGATCTGACCATATCATATCGGGAGGTGGGGCTTTGGTGAGATTAACTCATGAAGGCAGAACCCTCAGAAAGTAGATTATCCTGTCCTTATCAACACACCCCAGAACCTAGCCCCTCAGCAGTCAAGAAGCAAAGAAAAGGCAGATCTTGATCACCAAGCCTGGGCAGCATGGTGAGACCCTGTCTCAATAAAATAAAAGCAACCCAGAGGCCAGTGAGGGGGCTCAGTGGGTTAAGATGCTTGCCGCCAAGCCTGACTTCTGAGTTTGATCTCCAGAGTCCACATGGTGGAAGGAAAGGACTCCGCTGATCTCTCACATCTGTGCTACAGTGACTACAGACACACACCCGTGCACGCGCGCGCACACACACATACACAGAGAGAGAGAGAGAGAGAGAGAGAGACAGAGACAGAGAGAAATGTAGAAAAAGTTTAAAGCACCCCAGGAAGAAAACTATGCTGCTTTGCCTCTTCTACTATCTGAGGACACAACTAGAAGGAGCTATCTGTGCACCAGAAAGTCCTCCTCTCTTTGCCTCTCTGTCTCTCTCTCTCTCTTTCTCTCTGCCTGTCTGTCTCTGTCTCTCTCTCACACACACACATGCGTGCACGCACATACACACACACACACACACACGCACATGTGTGCCCACATGTATTCCCCCATCTACTCTTGTCTCATTCTCCGGGAGTGTAAGAAGCAAACTGCTATTTATAAGCTAGCTAGTTTACGCTATCTTGTTACAGCAGCTTAGGAAGACTGAGAAGTTATCTTTGGACAGATTTGCAGCAGTGAGATTGTGAGTTTTCTTGGGCAAAGCATAAGCTCTGACATGATGGACTATGACTGTTCGTGCTTGCCCTATGTCGGGGGAGATTTATTTCCTAACTTTTCCATTGAATCAATTAATTAATTAATTAGAAACATTATTTTCAAAGGCTCTTGTTTCTCTCTTAAGTGTTTTTTTATTTTAAAAAGATTTATTTATTATGTATATAGCGTTCTGCCTGCACGCATGCCTGCAGGCCAGAAGAGGGCAGCAGATCTCACTACAGATGGTTGTGAGCCACCGTGTGTTTGTGGGGATTGAACTCAAGACTTCTGGGAAAAGCAGCCAGTGTGTGGGACTGTGTAAGGGTATCTTGGTTCATGGCTGGGCATGGGCCTGGAACCCCAAGACTCCAAGAGAGAAATGGCAGGCGTTCAGCCATGTCCCCAGAATCCAGGATTCTTACACGCAGTCTAGTCTCCATAGACCTACATTGTTCAGTCATGTAGGCCATTACAGCCCCTCCCAAAGTGCACAGGTAGAGGGTGTGACGATAGGCCTCAGGCCCTAGAGAGATTTACATACTAATGAAGGCCAGAGAGTGGAGCAAATTAAGCATGCTTCCCCATGGACTTAGAACTTAGGACTGCCCTGAGTTTGGGGGGAGGGCATCCAAATCCATCCATCATCCACCATGACAATAAACCTCTTTTGGAACCAAGGACTTTCTCATGTCATTGGGGGTCTGCCGTCGCCAAAGCCCCCAGCCTTTGGAACTCCAGACGTTTCTCCTGTATGTGGGACCAGCTGCGTGGGAAGCCTCCAGGACCACCTCCACCACTGCTGTGGCCCCCTTTCTTCCCACATTTGGCATGACCAACGTGGAGCCACGAACAGCCACACAGCTACAGAAACTAAACAAGCTAGCCAAACAGCTGTCTCTCAGCCAAGCAAGTATAATAGGCGAACACTTTCCACAAGGCATGGCGCCAGGGCTGTCTGTCTCTCTGTCTCTGTCTCTCTCTCTCTCTCTCTCTCTCTCTCTCTCTCTCTCTCTAGGGGCGAGAGCTGCCAGCCAAGCTTGTGTGTCCCTATCTCCGTTTTGCTGTGCCCCCTACAGTGGGGTCTGGGGGCTCCAAATAGAGAAGACATCGACCCCCAGGTCAACCTGAGAGCTCTGCCCCACCTTTCAGAACCCAAGACTGAGTGAGAATTCCCCACGCCAGGCGGGTCCCCACCTTGCTTGTTTGATGCTGTGAGGAATCCACTCAGTAAAGATTCCACGCTTCTCCCATGCTGACTGAAGCTGCAGCTGCCTAATCTCTCACCTGAAGGACCTCTCTGTGTTCCAACCACGGGAACCCACATCTTCAAGCAAGCTAGCCAGGCCACGGAGTCTGGTAAGCAAATACAGTAACCAAATCTCTCCCGCGGGGTGCTGCCGGGGCCTCTTTCTTCTCCCCCTACCTCATTTCCCTTGGCTGTGGGATGGCCAGTTGTGTACCCACATGCCCCCAGTCTCAGTTCTTCTGTGGCCTCTCAGTGGTCTGAGAGCCCAAGGGCTTGAGACCAGTCGGTCTCCGGCCAACTTCTGGCCCAAGATCCCCAATCCAAGAGCTCTGCACCCCCACGGAACCAGACTAAGTGAAAATTCCCCATGCCCCCATGCCGCTCCCCCAATGTGCTCGCCTGGTGTTGCAGGGAATAAACTCATAAACTCAGCCAAGACCCCGTGTGCTCCTGCCATGCTGAGCTACAATCCCAGCCTACTGCATCGTGGCAGATGCATGGACCCACAACGCAACAGAGACTGAGTGTGCCCACACAGGAGCCTACATCATTCCCTATAGGTGGTAGAGGATGTGGACAAAGCCAGCTCCAAGAGTACTCCCCGGCTGGCGCCCTCCAAGGACCTCTCCATGGAACCGTAACTCCAGCCTAGTCCCCAAGACTAGGCAGGTCTCTCTCTGTCCCTTCCCCTCTCTCTCTCCACGTGTTTCGGGTCAGCATTTTCTCTCTGACTCTTAGTTACCACTAGCTCCTGCCTAGCTCAAAAGACTAGGTCTATCTCTCTCTCCTCCACATGTTCTCCAGCTCAAGGGCAAGATGGCGGCTCCCTAGCCTCCACCTTGTCCATCCCCCAGCTCCACAGAGAGGGCTCCTTCACAGCGGACAGCTGTCTTTGAGGCCACATCGCCTGCTGTGACTCTCGTTCTAAGACTCCTTCCCTTGGTTGAGAGATCCCCCTTTCGTTTTTGAGCTCTCAGGAGTGCCTACTTCCATCTTTCACACGCTGCCTGCTATCGTAGCTTTCTTTCTTTCTCCCCATGTGTTCTCCAACTCAACAAGATGGTGGCGACTCCCTAATCTCTGCTCTCTGCCCATCCTCCAGGGGTCAGCCTTTCACGCTCTGCCTGCTAGCTTCTCAGGAACACTGGCTCTAACTCTAGTGACCAGTGATTTTCCCCCAGGGGATCAGTCTTTCACAGGCTGCCTGCTAGCCTAGCGTAGACTTCTCCCACTCCTCTGCCATTTGCAGCCAGTTACAGCCCAGCCGGCTTGCCTGAAGCAACAGGGCCGGCTCCCTGCTTGCCCCCTCACCCCCTCACCTCCTGGGTCATTTGCAGCCAGCTACAGCCCAGATGGCTTGCCTGAAAGCAGCGGGTCTGAGACTCTGTCTGCTCCCTTCGCCCCTGTGTTCCTCACAGTGTCTTTCTCATGGCTACAAACTCCGGGCTGAGCCTGGAGAAACTGCTCGCCTCCTGCCAGCTTCTCCCAGGAGCTGCCAGCTCCAAGCCAGCCTCCACGTGTCTCTCTCCCATGACTCAGTCTCTCACACAGAATCTAACTCCTTCTGACTCTGACTCTCCTATCAAACCCCTGTGTTTTTTGCTTTGAGCTTTCCTTCGAGCTTTCCTTCAAGGTTGGCCTTCTTTTTCTCCTCTACATTTAGGATTCCTAAGAAAAACAAATGGGGAATAGCCTGGCCTCTC